GAGTGAAACAATTTAGATTGCCCAGCAGGAAATTTCTGGGGTCGCAGAAAACCAGTCCGCATCGGGTGGGGGGAGGGGGCAGGGAGGGTTATTGAGCTGGAAGTTTTGATTGCAAGCAATACGCTCGGGCAACAAGACTTTCAAAGAAGTATCTTTTCGCCTTCCCTGCTGCCGAAGGGACGTTGGGAAATTACGCAATGAACCTGCGACTCCTGTGAAAAATTGACTTGGAGCAGACAATGTAGTTGAAAACTACTTTGTACAGGCCGAAAGGGGGGGAGGGGAGAAGAGAGTTCGTTAAATTTGTTCCAGGGCGTACCACCAACAATTGTGCAGTATCCAATCAGCATTCTTAAATGAAACACAGACTGCGAAGTCATTCCAACAATCTCCTCCTCCACAGATATGCACGTTAAATTTGCTGAAGTCTCGAAAAACCGTCATCATTGAAAGAAACTTGCCTCGTGGCCATGGTCATATTTTTAGGCCTTCGATAGGAATGGCAGCCAACACATCCAAAAGGCGAATAGGAAGAAGATTCTTGTTTAAGGGTAGTAGAAGCAAAGCTTGGCTTAAAAATAATCCATATTAGTAAAGTAAGACATGACAAACGGTAACATCAATAACAGGTTAAGTTACTGAGAAGGAAACCAAATAAGCTCACCGAAGGCCGACAACGAATTATTCTTAAGGTAAGGATGACTTATATGGCTGCCCAAACAGGACACGGGAATAGGAAAGCCCACCACCTTAAATTAGGCAGCCTTGCGATAAATTTCACGAAGGATAAACATTACTGCGCCGTAACCCTAATAATAACCCCTATAATAAGACTAAACTGTAACCTTTATCTTAACCCTAACCCCACCCTAAGCCTCACAGTTAACACGAACCGAAGCCTTAATCCTTACCATAAAGTGACCCTGAGCCAAACTCTGACCCTAAACCCAACCCGCAAAGACTGTTTATAGGTATCATCACAGTAAGCCTAAACCCCAGAGTTATCTTTCACGGGACCATTGTTAAAATGAAAGCTTTTCCTTTCGCATGGAGATATAGTATATCCACCTAACAACATATTTCAACAGGAACCAAATGGTACAACGTTAACGGAAAGCTTATTTGTTATTATTATGTTTCCATTGTATCTCATATTTATATACCTACTACGTAGACCGTTTCATGTAACTTGCTTTACAACATTTGTAAAGAATCAATGACAGTAGACTAAATAGTTAATTTTTATTTGCCATATGCAAAATATTTTTTCTACATTTCTATCATCTGCGTACTATAGGTTTTTGGAGTAACATGGTGGTACTTCTAAACTATCCTTACCTCCCAAACCTAAACCTAACCGTAAGCCTCAGCTTAATCCTGAACCAACTTTCCTGGAATTTACCATAAAGCCACGTGTACTATGGGCGGTTCCTGTTTTCGTATCATTTTCAGGCAGCCACACAAGGCATCCTTCCAATTTTTTAGTAGCAAAGTGGCATTTGGAAGTCGAAAGGGACGTGCATAGCATCGATCCCAGTTTTTTTTTCAAGCGCATTTAAATAAGAAGATTAGGTCAAGCCGAATAGGCATGTGTGCTGTGCAGTGGCTGACAGGTCACAGTCACAGCACGACTAGTGCTCATCCCATAACCCATTTCCTAGGTTTTACTTGACAGAAGTGATTACCGGAGCCTGGCTACTACCCTTGGCGTAGCTTCTGGAAGCCCCAAGGCAGGTCTCCGAATTGGTTTGGCCGAATTGGTGTGGCCGCCTCGTGCTGTCAGTTCATCGAAGCGACTACTCCGCTATGAGTATCCCATCACCCCTCAAGTCGTCTTTAGCTGGACTATGCACATGCTGGCTCTGTTGGCCACGAATTCGACTTCACGGGCACGCGTA